TTTTGCATTTTTAGTAGAGACGGGGTTTCACCATGTTAGCCAGGATGGTCTCGATCTCCTGACCTCGTGATCCACCCGCCTCGGCCTCCCAAAGTGCTAGGATTACAGGAGTGAGCCATCGCACCCCACAACCACCTGGATTCTTTTCACAGGCACAAGTTCCTTTTCCTGCTGACCAAACAGAACTGGGTATGCAGCAGGTGCCTGGTAAATGCTTAGACTCTTGCAAGATCCCCAGGGTCTGGGAGTGAAACTCCTTTTCCAGTCCTGCTGATCTTGCTGTGTGGCTCCCGGTAGCCCCTGACCTCTTCAGGAATCAGCCACTGCTATAGGCTGACTTTGTGTCCCCCAAAATTCAAATATTGAAACCTAATCCCCCATGTGACAGTAGTTAGAGGTGGGGTCATTGGGAGGTGACTAGCAGCCCCCATGAATGGGATTGGTGCCCTTATGAAAGAGACCCCAGAGAGCTCACTTGTCTGCCATGTGAGGACACAGCTAAAAGACACAGCCGTCTATGAACCAGGAAGCAGCCTCACCAGACACGAATGTGTCGGCACCTTGATCTTGAACTTCAGCCTCCAGAGCAGTGAGCAACCAATGTTTGTTGTTCATAAGCCACCCAGTGGATGGCATTCCATGACAGCAGCCTGCAGGACTAAAACACCCGCCACTGGAGGCGCTGCGTGGTCTCTGACTGGCTTTCCTAACTCCAGTGTTTTAGCCCAGCTTTGGCTCTGACCCCTTTATTGTTCAGATGGGGAAGCTGAGGCTCAGAACAGCCAGAGGTTTCATGGTGGGATCATGACAGAATGTTTCCCTTCACTCCTTCCATAAATGCTCCTCTCCCTGAGTCAGACTGAGCTTGGCACAGGTGGTGGAAGCCAGGCGGGACTTTTCCTGTTGTCTCGGATGTTGATGAGCCCTCGGGGCTGAGTGCAGAAGGCGTGTGGTGCCGCACATGCCGCTAGTGTCCTGGCCGTGTCCCGGCACCGGCCTTGGCAGGATGAAGGCTGCTCAGCACAGACCTTGGGGCTTTTTTTCTGGTGATTGACATATTTGGCCTGGGTTCAGGGCAGGCTGAGGCTCCCAGGAATGGTCTGACTCCCAGCGGTGACTGATGGAGCAGCGGGGTAGACACCCCAGCGCCCAGCCCTTTGGAGGGACGACTCCCAGGTGCGCATTCTGTACTCAATCTCCAGCTGGCGCTCATCCCCAGCCAGATGGAGCTCCGGTTGCTCCCAGCAGCGATGACGCCAACAGTGGGCCCCACCGGTTCCCCCTCTTCCCTGTCCTCTTCCCCATTGCTAAATAAATTCCTTGTGATCAGGCTCGTGTCCCAGGGACAGCTTCTGGAGAAGCTGGAGCCCTAGACATGAGATTCTAGACCACTGCTGCCCCCAAACGAATAGGGGCCCGTCGGCCCTGTCCCAGTGAGTTTCCTCCTGGGAGGGAGCGTGGGGAAGGTAGCCGCTGGGTATAGGGCTCGGGGCAACCATCTGGAGAGCTCAGCCTGCGTCTCCTGGGGTTTGGAGACCTGAAGGCAGGTGCCCAGCCAGCCTGGGTGTCTCAAGGCCGGAGATGAATGCCACAGGCTGCGGCAGGAGGACAGCACAGGGGGCCCAGGGTTGGGCTTACCAGGGAGGGGAGTTGCAGAGAGCTTCTTCACCAGGAAGCCCCCAGCTCCATCCTGGAACCGTGCCCAGAGTGGCCCAGGGCGGGAGTTTCCTGAGGGGCAGGTTTCTTCGAAGAACCCACAAAACTCCTCAGGCGGCATCAGTGTGTGGGCGGCTGTTGCCCTCAGAGAGTGTCGCAATCACACCCTCCTAAGAGTCTCCCACGTCCCCTGCCAGCCCTGCCCCCACCATGGCTTGACAGATGGAGGCAAGAAGAAAGCACTTCCTGAAACCCCCAGGGCCCGGCTCCTTCCCCCACACCAGTGTCACTCCATTTGTGGCCACCTCGCATCATCCTTGTTTTACTGATATGGAAACCAAGGCCCAGATAGGGGCAGAGACGCCCCCACACCCCACCAGATTGCATAGCAAGTGCATGGTCTGGACTCTCCCAGTCCCACAGCTGTTCTTATGAGCTTCCCTGCTGTCCTTCAGGGTGTCCCAGCCCAGGGCCACGCCATACAGCTGCAGTCCCGCTCCACCTCGTGCCGATTGTGAGATCCTGGAGAGGCACTCAACCTCTCTGTGCCTCTGTCTGCTTGTCTCAAAGACAGCGATGGCGGTGCTCAGCTCCTAGGGCCTTGGGAGGATGCAGGAGCTGCTTGAATGCGGGTGTTTGCTGCTTCCCCCACACTTCCCCCTGCCAGGCTTGTCTCTGCCTTCCCTGGCAGCGTCCATTTGAACTTCCAGGCCCAGCGGGCCACACCCTTCCTGTAGGAAGCCATCCCTGACTCCCATGGGCCATGAGGCTGGGTCATGTGCCGCTGTAGTCCCTGCTGATGGGACGGCTCTGGAACACTTGGCATACATTGTGCCTCCTCCAGGGGCTCCCGGGGTTGGCAGGGGTGAGAGGAGGTGCCCAGGGAAGGAGTGGGCCTGGCACAGGCACGAGGCCTACCTCTGAATTTCTGAGGCCCCAGCTCTCTCTCTGCCCCCACACCCTGGGGCCTTTATGGGCTGAGTCAGGTGTGGAGCTGGAGTTTCCCCGTAGTTATTTTGGGAGCAAAGCAGGTGCTGAGGTTAGTCGAGGACACACCTGGGCACCACTTCAGGCAGGTTAGTCAGGGGCCTGACCCCATCCCTGCTCTGTCCCAGACACAAGTGGCCAGAGATGACCCCAGAGGCATGGGAGGCTGGAACCCTTCATGGCTCCCAACTGCCCTGCTAGAGTCTTGCCTTGACCACTGGCATCCCCCCGACTGGCCTGGCCTGGCACCGCCATCTTTTGTCATCTTTTCTCCCCTGCCTGAGCAAATGCGACCCTCTCAGCAGCTGTAGGCCAGCCAGCCTTCCAGCCATTGCCAGGCCATTTCCTCCACCTGAAGGCCCCTCCCTGACAGCTTGGCCCAGGGGGATTGCTCCCATTCACGCCCTCTGGCCTGTCTGGATGTGCCTGTTGGCTTACAGGGACCTGGGGCACTCGCTCCAGCTTGTGGCCCTGGGTCAGATTCTCTCTGTCTCTCTCCCTCTTCACGTACCCCTTCCCTCTCCCCCTTAATTGACAGAAAGACCACAGAAACCTGCCCAATGTCACACAACCACGAGGGACATAGTGGGGCCTGGAACCCAGGCTGCAGCCCCAGATGCCAACTGGAAGCGGCAGCCGCTGTGGGGGAGGCTGGGAGTGCCTGGAGCCCAGGCAGGTGGCTGAGGACCTGGGTGGGAGGGGGCCTCACCCAGCACAGGAAGCTTGAGGTGGTGGCAGCTTTGGAACCAACTTAAAGAGAGATAAAGAGGAAATACCTCTCAGGCCCCACCCTGGCCCTGCACCTCCTTCCCTTCCTACCCCACAGCCACACACACATCTCAGCTCCCAAACTGTCCCGCCAGCCTGCCTGGCCCTGTCACCTGTCTCCATATCTGACTGAGTCCTACCATAACACCTCCGTGGTTCCCCACATGGCTTGGCATTTGAGGTCCTCCTGCCAGTCCCACACACCACAGGTTCTCTGTCATTGCTCTCCCTTTGTTCATCCTGACCTTCTCCCAGGGATGCCTTTCTCTTTTTCTACTTAGCCAACTCCTACACATCCTTCAAAACCTCACTCATTGCCACCTCTTCTGAGAAGCCTTCCCTGGGAAATCACCTTAATGCTCACTGTCTTCCCATGTAGTATGTCCTTCATGTCCTCTGTCTCCCCCAGAACACGGCTGCTCTGACTCCCTGTGTCTCCAGCATCGCCCAGGCTGGGCCCCCTGGAGCTGTGGCCAGTGTTTAGTGAATGACTAAGTGGCTGTATCTTGGGGCTGCCTCAGCTGTCATTCAAAGTATATCCAGTTGGTTCGCATAGATTTCTTGGGCCCCATGCCTGTTCTGGGGCTGGGCCCTGCTCCAGCCATTCTCACGGCAGCAGTATTGGCTGCCACCTGCCCAGAGCCCCAACTGGGACATCCCTAGGCCGGCAGGTCCCAGGCCCCAGGATAGCTGCTCCCCAGGCCCAGTTCCTGCTCCACCCTGGTCCCAGACTCTGCTCTGCCAATGTCCAGTTCCACCCACACCCCAAAGGCAGGGCCTACAGGGTCTGCTTCCTGCCCAGCCCTCTCCCAGTCACTACTCAGCGCCGGACCAGCTCTCAGCAAGAGCTCTAGAACCCTCCACAGTTTGAACAGATTGGAGCATCTGCCCTCCTTGAGTTACAGATAGGGAAACTGAGAAACAGAGAGCAGGGACCTGCCTGAAGCCACACAGCAGCCAGTGGCCCAGCCAGCTAAAAGCCCAGGACCTTGTCCTCTCTCAGGGACCTCCTAGACATTCTCCACCGGCTCAGGTCCTCGGTGTCGAGGCCTGGGCTTGCCCTGACTCTGCCCCAACCCTGAGTAAATCCTCAGAACTCAGTCTCCTGTGCCTGCTAGGCTGGTGGCCTCTGTGGAGCCTGGGGGCCCCAGACAGATGGACAGAGGCCCAGGAGTGAGGGGGTCCCATGGCCAGGAGAGATAGAGCCACGGGGATGGGATGGGGGGTGTCCACTCACGGATGGGGCTTGACGCGGATGTAGTTCTTGGGAATAAACCCCTCGACGCCCCGGAGCTCGGCCTTGTACCAGTTCTGGTCATCCTCCATGTTCAGGATCTGTGGGCAGGAGACACAAAGCCACTCAGTCACCGAGAAAGAACAACTGTCACCCCCGGAGATGCCACTGCATGCCAGGCCCCAGGTGGGCTTCGCCTGCACCAGCTTCTGAGTCTACTCACAGAGAAGGGCTGGGGGCCTGGGACAGGACTTGCCCACGGTCACAAGGGCTGAATTAGAACACCTCGTTCCTCAGTCCTGCCCATCCTCTGGCCCCAGGACAGCCCATCCTCAGGCGATTCACAGACTCCAAGGGTGGCACAGTCGGGGACTCATAGGAGGCTTGGGGTGGCTGCAGCTGGCCTCTCAGGCTCCAACAGCAGGAGCCCTGCGGACCATGGGGTTTGCAGGAGCAGAACTGGGGACCTGAGTTCCTTCCTGGGCTGTGCCCGCAAATTTGGGGGGTCCACAGCACCTACATGCCATGCACTGAGCCTTGGGGTGAAAGTCGGGGGGCCCAACCTGAGCACAGCCATCAGTGGTCACCTAGGGTCCCTCGCATTTAAACAGCTGAGGGGTGACAATTCAGTGGGGGGATTTCAGGCTCTGGGGAGCAGATAAGGCGGTCTTTGGTCTGAGACAGGCTGTTTCTCAGCCCCGGCGTGGCCTGCTCAGTCACACGGGCTCCTCTTCACCCCACAGGTGGGCCCGGAGGAACTGAAATAGCCAGAGCGGGGGTGGGAGTCCCTGAGGGGGAGCAATCAAGCGACCAAGGCGGAGGGGGGCCGGGCCTGGGAGGGACACAGCACAAGGCCGGGGGTCCTTCCTGCATTCCCTGGGCACGTCTTCCATGTGTCCCCCTGATTCTGATAAAGCCCCCAAGGTCAACATCACCAAATGCTATTTTACAGATAACAAAACTGAAGCCCAGAGAGGGGAAGTGACTTGGCCAAGGCCACACAGCAGGGGAGAGGCGGAGCCTGTTTGGTCAGCTAGGACTCTGAGGCCCGGGGTTTTCGACTCACTGGTCAAGGGGGTCCTGGCCCACCAATTTTCGCCTCCAGTCCTCTTTGTCCCTGGACCCCAGCTTGAGGGGACATCTCTCCTGTGAGGAGACATCTCTCCTGTCAGTCCTGGAGCACGCTCCAATGTCAGCTCAATCTTTCAGGGGTACTTGTTGAGAGAAAAAAAATGGGCATGGGGTACCAAAGGCCCAAGGCAGGCCAACATAGGAGCATCAACTCCAGCAATGACATTTTGCCAAGAGTAGCTGGGATTGGCCTCCTAGGACCCAGGCCTGAGGCGCCACCCTCACAGGTGGCCTCTGCACACCCATCTCCACCCCCGCTTTGTCCACCAGGCCAGGCTGGCTGAGCCCCTTCCTTCCTGTCCCTGCAGCCTGGGCCAGGTCAGCAGCCCCAGGGGCGAACGGAAGCAGGTGGCTGACTCAGGAAAACTTTCGCTCAACACAAAACAAAACAAAACAAAACAAAACAGGCTGGGCACGGTGGCTTATGCCTGTAATCCCAGCACTTTGGGAGGCTGAGGAGGGTGGACCACCTGAGGTCAGGAGTTCGAGACTAGCCTGGCCAATATGGTGAAACCCCATCTCTACTAAAAATACAAAAAATTAGCCAAGCATGGTGGCACACCTCTGTAATCCCAACTTTCTCAGGAGGCTGAGGCAGGCGAATCACTTGGACCCGGGAGGTGGAGGCTGCAGTGAACCGAGATCGTGCCATTGCACTCCAGCCTGGGCAACAGAGTGAGACTCCATCTCAAAACAACAAAACAAAACAACACAACTCCCCCAACCTAAGGAGAAAACAAGGACCTGTAGGCCACATGCCACAGCCATGGATTCCAGGAGGAGGCCCTGAAGCCTGGGGCTCCAGAACATTCTGTCTGCTTCTGACTCTCTGTGGCCTTGACCTCAGTGTCCTCCCTCTTCTGTCCAGTGGGTGTATTTGTGGCCTGCCTTGCATGCAGCAGTGTGGACATGGGATGCACTATATCTCATGCAGTCCCTGCTTTGTTTTGTCTCCTTGTCATCTGCACTCAGAGGACCCAGGAGTGTCCCATTGGTTACGTTAGTTAGTGATTTCTTTCTCTTTTTTCTTTTTTTTTTTTTTTTTTTGAGATGAAGTCTCGCTGTGTCAGCAGGCTGGAGTACAGTGGCGCAATCTCGGCTCACTGCAACCTCTGCCTCCCAGGTTCAAGCAATTCTCCTGCCTCAGTCTCCCGAGTAGCTGGGACTACAGGTGCCTGCCACCACGCCCAGCTAATTTTTGTATTTTTACTAGAGACGGGGTTTCACCATGTTGGCCAGGCTAATCTCGATCTCTTGACCTCACGTTAACTGATTTCTTACTGTGAACATTGTTCGAAAGCCCCAGACCCTCTGAGGCCCGGGAATTCTCAGAAGGGAGAGAGGCCAACCCCTCCCTGGAGGAGTATCACTGCTCAAGGTGAAAGGCAGACCTCGGCCTGCCCCTGAGCCTTTGCCCCCATGGTGCCCTCCACCTGGGCTGCTGCCCCACTTTACCATCCCAGCCTGATGCAGTTGCTGCTTGACAGTTGTTTACTGAACACCTACTGTGTTCCAGGCACCCCACGACACAGCAGGGAACAAGAAGCTCACATTCTAGTAGGCAGAGACAGACCATAAACAAGGGAAGAAACAAGTAAGCAAGGTAGTTTAATGGAGCAGTAAGTGCTGTGAAAAATGGACATCAGGAGAGAGATGGAGAATGTCTGGTTGGGTGGGAGCGGGGAGATTGTCAACACGGGACAGGTGGGGTGGTCCAGAAAGGCCTTTCTGAAGAAGTGACATGGAAGCTGAGACCCGAATTACAAGAAGGAACCAGCAGTAAGAAAATGTGGGGAACAGTGTTCAAGGTGGACGGAACAGCCAGTGCCAAAGCCCTGAGATGGGGGCAAGCTCTGTCCCCGAAACAGAAAGGAGGCCAGGGTGCCTGGAGTCGAGGAGGGAGGAGCAGGTGTCATGAGATATCCAGGGGAGGGCCAGGCTCTGAGTCATGGCCACTGCATGGAGACTGGGCTGGGAAGCAGGGGGTGGCGGGGGGAGGCCTTGAGAGCCACCGCACAAGCCCAGGTGAGTGACGATGGAGGCCTGGGCCAGAGGAGGGGCTTCAGGTAGGTTTGGCCAGAGTTGCCGACAAGACAATGACAGGCTGCAGAAAGTAGGTTCGGGGAGCCCAGGGCTGGACCGTCACCCTTTCCCATGGAGATGGCAGGGTGACATGGGCTTCCTGAATCTAGGTCTGGTCATCCAGGCTGTTCGTGGAGAGATGGGAGTGAAGCCCCCTCCAGCTGGCAGCAGCAGGGGGATGCGTGCACCCAGAAACACCTGGCCCACCAGGGAGGGAGGCTTTGTCCCAGAGAGGTGATGTTTGGGGCCATTTGTCCAGAGTGAGTCCATGAGCCAGAGTCTTCATCCAAGACCAAAGTTGAGATTTGAAGAACGGGCTTCATTGCCCACTCCCCCAGGCTGGACTCAATCTGTAGGCAGGCAGTGCCGTGGCAGGGGCTGGCCCACAGGGAGCGCTGGAAAACACTTGCTGGGCAAGAGGACAGGCTGGTCGTGGAGCTCAGCTTCCACCCCAGCCACTTGATCCCTCCAAGCCTGGCTCAGCGCCTCCCGCACACCCCATTCCTATTTCATCACTGCCCCACTCCCTCCCAACACCACACCTGGGTCTAAAGACCTCCAAGTGCTCTCAGATGAGAAACGAAGACTTGGATCCCCGCAGAGGGTCATGCCTTGGGCTCACAGCCCCAGTGCTCAGCCCGGCCCTGTCCACGAGGCCCACAGCCAGCACTGCAGTGACCCCAGATGCCAGCACCCCAGCATAGAGAAGGAGGAATTGCTCCTCCTCCTCTGGACCCCAACCCCCAGCCCAGCCTGTTCAGACCAAGTGCAGGTTCCACAGTCAAAGGGACACAAGTTCAAAACTGACTCCATACTGAGCAGGTGATGTTGCCTCCCTGTGCCTCAGTTTAGTCACCTGTGAAACGGGGGTGCCAGTCCCCATTGCTTAAATGGCACATGGGGTGTGCTGCTGAGTTCAGGGCCTGGCTATAGCAGGGTGATGGCACAGGGAGCTCTCCTGTCTTGTGCTTGAAGCTTGTGGTCAAGAACAGCGCCCAAGATTCAGCGCAGAGGAGCGTTCAGTCTAACACCCATTGCTCCAGTGAGGAAACTGAGGCCCAGAGAAGGGCAGTCACTCCCCTAGTGTGGTTTACTGGCAGTTCCAGTGCACAGTGTTGGCATGGCCACTCCCAGAATCCTGGGCATGGCTTTCATATGCAAACTTTTAAGCAAGGACATTTCCAGAGACACATTCCACAGGCCCATCTGTCTAGACTGTCTTGGAAGGCTGCAATGTCTGCCAAAAGCGGCCCAGACAAGGAGAAATGAACTGTGGTATGACTCTGTTTTCCCTTTACTCCACACTACTGGGAAGCTCATCTTTGATGCCTTCATCACAGCTATTTTAGCCCTACTAGGTTAGCATGTGTACTTATTTCTTTCCTAAGACCTTCTCTCTCTCCCTCTTTCTCCCTCTGTTCTCCATTCCCATACTCTGTCTCTCTCTCTAGCTCTCATTGTCTCCCTCTCTCAACAATTTTCTTTTCAAACTTTGTCCTGGAAAACTGGGGGTTGAACTAACTCCTGCCAGACACTGTGGTAATATCTCATCGAATCCTCACAGCAGCCCCAAAGGAGGGTCATTAGTTATCTCCCCATTTCCTAGATGGAGAAACTGAGGCTCCGAGGGAAGAGGTGGCTTGTCCGGAGTCACACAGCCAATAACTGGAGAGGCTGGGCCTGTCTTCCAGGGGCCACCGTCTGCTTGGGACAATCCCAGGCCCCCGGTTTCTAAATCCACCCCCACCCCGTGTGGGGCCAACTCAGCAGGCTCCAGCCCCCCTACCTTGAGTGTGTCTCCCTTGTTGAAGGCCAGCTCATCGCTCTCTGTGGCCTGAAAGCTGTACAGGGCCACGGACTCCATGCCGCTGCTCGGGGCTCCAGCAGCTGGGCTCAGAGCTGGGCCGACAGCTTCCTGCTTCCTCTGCAGTCGAGGACCGTCTTCCTTTGTTTTGAGTGCGTGTTTGTTCTTTTGAAGTTGAGACTGAAACTGCTCCTGATGGGGGAGAAACAGGAAACAGACATGTCACAGAATAGGGAGGGCTTGTGAGCCAGCTCGGTCCCTACCTCAGACCCCAGGTGCCAGGAATGGCCTTTGGGGAGTCTCCCTGAAGCTCTGGGAGTGGGGCCCCCTTGTGCCCATGTTTTACCCTCCATAAAAGTGAGGTGCCTGGAGGAGAAGTGCCGAAGCTCTCCTGCTGGCTCAGGCACTGAATCTCATGGCACCAGATGCTGGCCCCCCTTCACCAATTTGCCAATGACCCTCCATCTTTTCCTAAACCCTGGTGCCTCTTGTGATGCCCTGCCTCCTTCTACTTCAATCCAAGCTCTTCGCCTGGCATTCAAGGCCCTTGCAAGCCACCGCCTCCACCTGCCCCTACAAATAGCCCCCATTCTCATCCTTTGTCATCCCCTTCACTCTAAACAAACCCGGGGCTTCAGCCACAGCAAGGGGCCACACCAAACTCTCATTTCAACCACAGACTTTTGCACATGCGGTTCCTCTGCCTGGTGCTCTCCTCTTTCTGCTCCCGGGAGACTCCTATTCATCCATCAAACCCCAGCTCAGAATGCACCTCTTCTGGTTTAAACACGGGCACCTTAGGTGTGACTTAAATCCTAAGGTCAATAAGACTTGTGGGCTGGGGCAATGGCTCATGCCTGTAATCCCAGCACTTTGGGAGGCTGAGATGGGCGGATCACTGGAGGTCAGGAGTTCGAATTCCGCCTGGCCAACGTGGTGAAGCCTCATCTCTACTATAAATACAAAAAATTAGCCTGGCATGGTGGCACGTGCCTGTAATCCCAGCTACTGGGGAGGCTGAGGCACAAGAATCGCTTGAACCCAGGGGGCAGAGGTTGCAGTGAGCCAAGGATCCATCCAGGCTCAAAGCAATCCTCCCGCCTTGGCCTCCGGAGTAGCTCGGACTACAGGTGCCCACCACCATGTTTGACTAATTATTTGTCTTTTTAATAGAGATGGGTTTTCGCCACGTTACCAAGGCTGGTCTTGAATTCCTGGACTCAAGCGATGCGATCCTCCTGCCCGAGATTGCACCCTTGCACTCCAGCCTGGGTGACAGAGCGAGACTCCTCAAAAAAAAAAAAAAAAAAGAATTATAAATAAATCTCTACCTTTCCTTCGTGGGTTTGTTATGAGCAGTGGCATCGGTGCAGCAATTCTGAAACTGTTTTGTAAGTGTTGCAGGATGGAGCACGCATGGACAAGCACAGCTATATTGTTTGGAACCAGGGTTCTCCCTGGGAAAGAAGGGAGACGCAGACGTGGAAGGAAAACCAAGCAGAGCCCTGTGGTGTTGCATGGACACTGGATGAATCAGTGTGAAGTCACATTGTTTTTTTCTGTAAAGAAATTTTTCTTCCTTCATTTGTATTAATATGGACTCATGGTTTCATATTTTAGCCAGTGGATTATAATCCACTACTATCACATTTATTTTGATGCTCAAAATGCCCCTGATTAGGCCAGTGGGGTCTCCTTCAAGCTGGCTCCTTATCCTTTCGACATGGACCCATCATTCTATGAACGCACCCTGACCTTCTGGCCAATAATAGGAGAATCGCTTGAACCAGGGAGATGGAAGTTGCAGTGAGCCGAGATCGCGCCATTGCACTCTAGCCTGGGTGACACATCAAGACTCCATCTCAAAAAAAAAATATATATATATATATTGAGAGGAAAGAAGGGAAGATGACAGCTGCTTTCCTCCCACTGTGGAGTCCCTGAGCCAACCAGGCAGGATGGAGCTGGCCCTGGCCTCACCTAGCCCCATTCCAGGCCTCCTCCACCCTGCCCTCTACTCAAAGACCCCTGCCTTCTGGCTGCCCCCGACCCCAGGGGTGACAGGATGTTACAAGGCCCCTCTTTCCGGCTTTGTTGCAGCTGAGGTTTCAAAGCCTCAGAATGATGCAATGGAGGGGTTGGGATCCGCCCCCGCCTCAGTTTTGAGGTGCTTCCAACCACATGAGGGGAGGAGGACTTCCCCTTATGAAGCTGAATGTGTGTCCCCCGGGGCTGGTGGGACAGACGCCTGGTTTATTTTTATGTGTTTTAGAAGTATTTCTTCTCTGCCAAGTCCTTCACAAAGAGGTAAGTGACCAATAGTTGGTAGGTGGCAGGGCTGGGGTTCAAACCCAGGCAGGCCTGAGGGCCAAACCATGCCTACAGCTCCTTCGCCGCATGGCCTCAACCCGGAGGATTCCCACCCAAGGTGGTTCAGGCCAGAGTTGGGAGCCTGGGCTGCCTACTGTACAGTGAGCTCAGGGAGTGTACTGAGGTAAGCAGCAAAGCTTTGTTGGAGGGTAAATCTGCCCTGATTCCGGCAGACCAGAGAGGACCCCACAAATGGGACTTGACTGAGAGGACCCTTGAAGAATGCAGGACCCCAAATGAGGGAGACGCTGGGGCCTGGAACAAGGGGCCATCAGAAGCTGGAGGCTTAGGCCAGGCACGGTGGCTCACACTGTAATCCCAGCATTTTGGGAGATCAAGGCAGGCAGATCACTTGAGGCCAGGAGTTTGAGACCAGCCTGGCCAGTAGAGATGGTGAAACTCCGTCTCTACTAAAAATACAAAAGTTAGCCAAGCATAGTGGCACACACCTGTAATCCCAGCGAGGCTGAGACACGAGAATCGCTTGAACCCAGGAGGCGGAGGCTGCAGTGAGCCGAGATCACACCACTACATTCCAGCCTCAGCGACAGAATGAAACTCTCTTAAAAAAAAAAAAAAAAAAAAAAAAATTAAAATTAAATAATTTTTTTTCTTTTTTTTAAATAAGAAGCTAGCTGCTTGCAGAGCATCAAGCCCCATCACAGGGCTGCAGCCTGGGTTCCTATGGGAAGTGTTGATGGGAAGAGTCAAGCGCTGTAAAATATCTGAAGAGATTTATTCTGAGCTAAATATGAGAGAACAATGACCCAGGACTCAGCCCTCAGAGAACATGCACCCAAGGTGGTCAGGCCATAGCTTGGTTCTTTTTTTGGGAGGGCGACGGAGTCTCACTCTGTCACCCAGGCTGGAGTGCAGTGGTGTAATCTCGGCTCATTACAACCTCCTTCTCCTGGGTTCAAGTGATTCTTCTGCCTCAGCCTCCCAAGTAGCTGGAACTACAGACGTGGGCCACCAGGCTGGGTTAATTTTTGTATTTTTAGTGGAGACAGGGTTTCACCATACTGGCCAGGCTGGTCTCGAACTTCTGACCTAGTGGTCCACCCGCCTCAGCCTCCCAAAGTGCTGGGATTACAGGCATGAGCCACCGCACCCGGCCACACAGCTTGGTTTTACACATTTTATGGAGATATAAGACATCAATCAATACATGTAAGATGTACATTGGTTCAGTACAGAAAGGTGGGAAAACTGGAAGAAAGGGTGCAGGTGTCGGGGGCTTCCAGGTCACAGGTGGATTCCAGAATGTTCTGACTGGCAATTGGTTGAGAGAGTTATTATCAATAGAAAGGAATGGGCTGGGTGCAGTGGCTCACACCTGAAATCCCAGCACTTTGGGAGGCCAAGGCAGGAGGATCACCTGAAGTCAGGAGTTCAAGACCAGCCTGACCAACATGGTGAAGCCCTGTCTCTACCAAAAATACATTAGGCTGGGCATGGTGGCTCACTGTAATCCCAGCACTTTGGGAGGCCAAAGCAGGAGGATCACCTGAGGTCAGGAGTTCAAGACCAGCCTGATCAACATTGTGAAACCCTGTCTCTACCAAAAATACATTAGGCTGGGCACGGTGGCTCACTGTAATCCCAGCACTTTGGGAGGCCAAGGCGGGTAGATCACTTGAGGTTAGGAGTTTGAGACCAGCCTGACCAACAAGTGAAACCCCGTCTCTACTAAAAATAAAAAAAAATTAGCTAGGTGTGGTGGCGAGTGCCTATAATCCCAGCTATTTGGGAGGCTGAAGCAGGAGAATCACTTGAACCCAGGAGACAGAAGTTGCAGTGAGCCAAGATCGTGCCACTGTACTCCAGCCTGGGCGACAAGAGTGAAACTTCATCTCAAAAAATATATATACAAAATTAGCCAGGAGTGGTGGTGCATGCCTATAATCCCAGCTACTTGGGAAGCTGAGGCAGGAGAATTGCTTGAACCCAGGAGGCGGAGATTGCAGTGAGCTGAGATCACCCTATAGCACTCCAGCCTGTGCAACAAGAGCAAAACCTCATCTCAAAAAAAATAAAATAAATAAAAAATAAGGAGTTTTGGAAGCCAAGGTTTTATTATGTAGATGAAGCCTCCAGGTAGCTGGCTTCAGAGAATAGAGTGTAAA